GGGCCCCTGCGCCGCAGCCAGGCATCGTAGAGGGCCGGCCAGCGCACGTTCAGCTTGAAGATGCAGATGAGCTGGAAGGAGCGAGTTGCCACGCACGAGAGGAAGACGGTGAAGCCGATGGCAAAAAGGGGGAGCCGCAGCAGGCACGCATGCCGAGTGGGCTCCCCGAAGTAGCAGAAGATGCTGCTGCAGGCGCAGGCTAGAGCACCCAGCATGAGGAAGCACATCTTCCCGCCTGCAGACTTGACCACCGGCGTGGAACCACTGGCGTGGAGGCATTCATCATGAAGAGGATGGCCAGCCCTGCCATGAGCAGCATGAGGAGGATGGTGGGGGTCAGCAGCGCGCAGGAGATGGGCTCAAACCAGGACAGAAACTCAATGGTGCGGTTGAAGCAAGCTTCGCTTCTCGCCGGGGCCCACTCATCTATCCCGCAGGGCTGGCAGCTGTAGAGGTCTACAGAGGACATGAGCCCAGGTGGTGACAGAGGTACCTCGTGCACCACAGACCCTGGTAAGAGATCTGCCGTGGTGGAGCACCCTGCCCTTGCAGCCCCCCGGCCCTCTGCAAGAGCTGCCCACACCCCATGTCCTGCTCTTTCCCCTTGGGTGCTTCGAAGCCTTGAGGAGCAGAGTCCCCCAAAAGTCCCCACAGTGGTCTTCCCAAAAGTCCATTGCATGGGTTGAGAGTCACAAGGTCCACAGGAATTCAGCAGGGTGAGCTGAGGCTCAGGGGCACGTGGGCTGTGGCTGGGAAGGGGCTTATGTGTCCAGCAGTAACCTGAGTAGGCTCTGCAGCAGCCCCCATTCCACAGGCTGGGGTATGGGACAAGTACTGCTTTGGGGCTCCTTGCTTCCATTGGTACCCAGAGCTGGCCATTTCTGCCCCACTCAGCCCAAGCGCTGGCCAAGGCTGCCAAGTAGCCAGCTGCTAGCAAGGGGTTTGTCATTGTGGCTGGTGGCTCTGGGACAGGAGATTCCTGCCACCTGTCCCAGGGAGGGGACATTTCCATATGCCAGCTGCTGGTGACCATGTGGTGTGGAAGCCCCGAGTGCCATCTGGCAACCACCAGGCCAAATTTCCCTCCCGGCTGATGCAGTACAGGAAGCAGCTGTCAGGCCGGACGTCCCTTGTCCCCTGGCTGTGGGAGAAGGGGCTCTGCCTGTGCTATCTCCGCTGGCTGCTTGGCTGCTTGGGCCCACCTGTGGGCAGCGCTCTCCGGAAAGCGCAGGGCATGGGCTTTGCATACCAACGAGTAAGCAAATGGGGGAGTCAGACCAACTGTGTTCAGGTGAGCTCAGAGGTTTTTACTCATCACAGGGAGGAAGAGAGAGCAGGAGGGAAGAGGCTGTGGGAACAGCGAGACAGAAGCAAGGAACTGACAGGAGGAGGAGGCGGCAGGGTGTGGGCAGGGGAGCCAAGCGATAAGGAAGGCAAGGGAGCCGCCCCCCAGGGCATACTGACCTGATCTGTTCAGGAAGGTTCCTGAGGGACAGGCCACGCAACTGAAGCAGCATCTGTGGTGGCTCCGCTGCAGCCGCTTCTCCCCTCGGTGACAGGCCTTTGGG